GTTACGACGTCGACTATCGAACATCTCCGCTTTTCGCAGCATCCCGGTTCCCTTTCGCTAGCCGCATTTATATATTTAAAGTTTTTCAATTTATAATTTCCATCATCTCAATAAATTTTATAAAGATACCTTTTAAGTGAATTTTTAAGGAAATAAAACTTTTATAACGATTTTCGGAACTGGCGCATTTTATTGGTTTTCTCTTTAACAAAAGGTGTGAGTGGTCTAGAAGGTGAGTTTTATGTACAATTTTTTTTTGGTAGCGGATTTCATCACCCAACCTGTATTATATACCATGGATAAAATGATACAAAACTCACGCATTGGCTCTCATTTTTCTCTCAAGCGCGTTCAATGATTATTTGACAGTGATGGAGATAAGAGAATTTTGATCAGTGTTTAATTTAGTGTTTTGTACAATTTAACGAAAATTCCAAAAATAAATAAGTGTGTGGTCGGCATATATATCTAATATATATGTATGTAAATATCATTTCTGGTGGCGCCATTGTATATATCGACTGGTGCGTTAGAATTTGCTATCTTTATCGATTGTCCACTAATAATTTCGCTATCTTTCATCAATTGAAGGTGAAGTTATTGCGTTTTAAGCATCAGTATGCTTCTGTTATCGGTGCAAAAATTAGTTTCGATTAAAGAGCCAATATTACATTTTGTTTTAAAATTGGTAAAACTTCTACCGAAACGTTTCAATTGATGAAACAAGTTTATGGCAATGATTGCTTATCCCGTAGCAGGAAGGACATCCTTAAAGAGGTTTGTTTGACAAAAATCACATTTTAACCATTATCCACCCCCCGTATTCACCTGATGTGGCACCGCGGGACTTCTTCCTTTTCAGAAAAATGCATTTGTTCATGAAAGGAAAGCGTGAAGCAGACTTAGAGGCCATTCAAAAGGCTTGCACCGGCATACTGGTCCATACCGGCCAACGAGCTAAAACACTCGTTCGACATGCTTTTGGACCGTGCAAAAAGCTGTATTGAAGCAGAAGGAGACTATTTTGAATAAAATAAATTGATTTTACCGAAAAAACCATTTGTTCCGTTTTTTCAAGTCCTGTTTACTTTGGAACGCACCTTGTATAGTAGTGTGAATATTGCAAAATTCCCAAAAGTTGTTTATAAAATACACAATCTAATATTTTTCAGCAGTGGCATCATTGGCAAATGTTATAAAAATTTGAATTTTGACAGCTCTCTCTCGAATCAAAGAGTTTCGTATCATTTTATCCATATGATCTACGTTCTCTGCCTCTAATACACAATACTCATAAACTCCACTCCATTAACTTATGCAAAGTATAAGTTTCATGAATGCATTACAACCATTTCTTCTTTGCATGCATTGCATTGGAAATAGAAGATTCGCCGATGAAGTAAGTAAATTATATTGAAATATATGTATATTATTAAATTTAAATTGTTATTTCGTATTATTTATTTATGTTATTTTTGGGATTATTCATAAGACTTTGGCAGTTTTCGTAAACTCTATATGCAAAGCATTTTTTAAATCATATGCCGATGGCATGCAAAGCATTTATGCAATACGGGTCGTATTGTCGATTTGACAAAATTTAAATGCTTTTATTTGACGTTTATGAATGGTCACGTAAATTGTTCTTATAATAATATAAATTACTGATAAAAGATAAAATGGAATTGAAAAAACAATTACAATTTTATAAAAAAAAACATATAATATATTTTAATATAAATTACTTACTTTAATGGGAACATTTCATTTTAAATATTTGCACAGTGGCTAAATGAGTTAAGCTTCCAGTCCTCATGCACCACTACACCACACAACACGCCGCTCACAAGCAACACTGGTAAATGTGCTGAACACAATGCTCGTGACAGACTGCAGCCAGAGATAAAGAGATGAGAGAGAGATAAAGAGATGGTTTAACTCCTCTCTCATTGGAAGTGAGAGAGCAATTGCTATACGTCAAAACCTACTGAACTCGTTTAGCTGTCAAAGGTCAGTAGGTTTTGACGTTTAACAATTGAAAGCGAGCGATGGCCAGATTGAAATCTTAGCAGAAAAATATGTAAACGGAGGGATTTGTTGCATCGTTCAATACCACTTATAAAAAATGTAAAACAATGAAAATTAAATAAATTTGTGAAATTTAAGGGTATTTGATGAAACATTTTGTAATTTGAAGCATCATATTATTATTTTCAATGGAAAATGATTAAAAACAATTAATGATCGAGAGCTAACAGGCTTAAATCTTTTATTGGATATTCAAAGGTCCAAAGTCAGTACTTTAAAAATATTTAAATACTCAACTTATTACAGTGTCAAGGAACATGTGTAACAAGTTTCATCAAGATATTTTAGTTTCCTGTTAATTTACAGTCTGAACGGACAGTCGGACAGATTTCAACTAATCTACTCATTCTTATTATTTATATACATATGTATATATAATACTGTGATCAAATTGAGGTGAATTTTTAATGTATACTTCGCTTGCTTTTAGAATCTCTAAATTTTTTTCTGTATGTCGATAGTACCCACCTCTCTGTTAAATTTCACGTCAAAATATTTATTAGTATTTGAGATATGCGTCGTTTTGTGAGGCTCTAAAAGTGAATTCTTCTATTTTTACTTTCTAAATTTATTGAACAAAGAAGTGCGATAATGCATCATCTCATTCTGGATTGGATTGAGGATATAAAAGCTGAATCGACGAAGGCTTAGATGGCCAACAAAACAGAGAATTTTTCCAAGATGACTGGAAAATTCGTTGGCTTAAGTGTATTACAGCGGGAGCGGATTACTTTGAAGGAGATACATATGTAAAATGGACAAAATTCACCTTTCAATTTGATCACACTTGGACATACATATGTACATATATTTCTTTATATATACATATGTATATCGATTTGTTTTAGGTGATGCAAACAACCGTTAGGTGAACAAAACTATTATACTTTGTACAAACAAGTGATGAGAGTATCAAAATATGTTGTACACGCTTCAAACGAACGACTTTCACTGAAAAAGACCCGTAAGGTAGTAGCTTTCAAACGCGTGTTTGGAATATTTGAACAATAGAATAAAAATCCAGTATGGGGACAACTCTTTGCAAATTTCACAAATATAGTTACAGCCTGTTTTTTATGCTGTTTTTTTTTTATAAATCTTTGGTTTCCAAAGTGTTAAAAACAGACTCAATGTCTAGTTGGTTTATCCTAACAATGGGGAGTTATGGCTTAAACAGTATACATAAATTTTGAACGCTATTATAGAGACTTTGATGTCTCCTTATTAGGCTTTATTACATGTTATAACATGTACATACGTATCTCCTTATGTTTTTATGTTTATTTAAAACATGTATGTAGGTACATATTATATTTGAGTATGTGAATACATATATTATATATTTATGTGTTAACGTACATGCAGATGTCAGCGACGTAGTCCATGATTTTTTGGCCTTATACATACGTATGCACATATGTACATATATGTACTATATGGAATAACAATATATGTACAACGATAGCCTAATACTCGATAAAATCTCTAGGTGATGGTGTTTCCAAAAATAATTTAGCACTGAGAGTGCATATTGTGACTGAATTTTCGCAGTAAAAACATTCTGTAAAAATATTCAAATTCATGTACATTAAATATTGCTGAAATCAGAAGAAGTCGAACGGGCGCTAAGTGAACACACACGACACTGGGAATATACACTAATTTTAGTGCAAACAATAATATATTTTGTAAAAATATTCAGATATTAAATAAATTTCTACCGAACAAAAATGGTTTACGAAAGTGGATTTACTACCCGTAGGACCTATACTAGCAGGCCTATCATTAGCTCATATGCTGTATCGGTAAGCTTTCTCCAATTATTATAACAGTTATACATAAATTGTGAAGTTATATACTGTCTATATTCCTGCTTTCAATTCGTGAGTTAAAATGTAGTATGGCGCGCGTCGTTTAAAATACATATGAATGTATATTCAAATATTTGTGCTAATCCATTCAAAATTTATTTAAATAAAGCATGGGAACGTGTGCAAAGCTACACAACACGAATATTAATGATTACCATGTTTCTAACTAATTAAAATATATACCCACGATTTTGCAAATATTTGGAAACACATTTTTATTTCGAATATAAAACTTTAATCATAGAGCCCTTTACAACAAGTATGAGTATCACCAAAAGATCTATTAATAAAAATACTTTAATTGTAGGCCATTCAAAAAAGTACAAATATGACTATTTTATAAATATTGCAACCAAATGCATTCATTTGATTTAATTTTCAATGATGAAGAACAAGAGGAGAATTGAAACAAGTTTGAAAAAAGTTACATTTCGCAAGTTTCGTAAATCCCAGGGTTACTAATACCCAAAGTATTGTGAATTAATATAAATGGTGATTTATGAATATCGCATCAATAAATTATATTTCATTATCCATGTACTAATGTTTGATTTCGGTTTATTGTAAGAAGGAACATGACAAACTTAAAACAAGACTTCTGAATTAGGACATCATTACATTCGAAAGCTTTCCGAGCGAATTTTTTAATCACATACTCGTATTCACATACTTCCACACGACAAGACATAGTATACGTTTAGCATTTCATACATTGTACATTCTGAAAATTATAGTACAATAACTATTTGACTTTAAATGTTATAAATATATTGAAATAATTCTTATTATATTTTATACAAACATGACAATCGAATAATTTTCTCAAACTTCTGATTGACACTGGATTGTTGTATTGTAGTATATTATATAGTATATCAACATACGCATATGAACTAATATGTATATATTGTAACGGCTAATTTTATGTATAAACAATTCGGTAAGTTTTTATCTATATTAGTATTACTAAAACAATTATATTATATGACGACACATTTACACTTATGTTTGTATGTAAGTATATAATAATTATATATCCTATGTTCGTTTAGTGTTTACATAAACTTTTACATGAAGTAAAATAACCTGTTACTAAGATATATGTACATACTTAGACCTAATCGTTTTAATTAAAAAAAAAGTTAAATATAAAATCTTTAAGTATTCTTTAGTGTAAGTCCCTAGAAAATCAAGAACAGTGCAATAGTTTAAATTTTCATATCTGCAAAAGTGTTTTGCTGGATGCAGAGTTCCTATCGATTATTAAAATAGATGCGCGCGCATATAAATTTACAATTTAAAAATATCTTACAAATTCCATAGAAATATAAACAAACAGCTTTAGTGTTTCTTACTCATATGACGTAAATATTCAATAAGACTATTTATACATACTCACTCATGCCAATATACTATATGTACATACGTATATTTGTATTCTTTAGCTTTAAGGAAATGGAAGATCATTTATACACACATGTTTTAGTATTATCAAAATAATATGTTAGTATGTAGTTATAGTGTAACCACAACGAAAGGCCGGCCAGATACAATTTGCCACACTGGACAAATGTCAAGTTCTGCGGTTCTAACAAAAAGGTTGAAGCCAAAGTGAAGCTTTCGTGATCAGTGAAGAAGATWTTTAAATATTATGATCATATTTGTACGTAGTGGATAAAATACAAATCACTGAAAAGCAGCAAAACGTTTCGAAGACTTAATTTTACTCAAAAGTATATTCCTGGGAAATATAGATTGTACCATTTCTTTATGTTGGAAATACTTCTATTAATGTTACATTTGCTGTCTCCAAATTGTTGCATCGTCTACCTTCGAGATATTTCTACAGAAATAACTCAATAAATTTTTCATCTTTGTACAAAGTAACTATGTATATATATAACGCCTTCAGATAAACCAAACACTTTTTTGGAATTAAGAATTTCAAAGATTTCCGGTCAAAATTTCATTGTCAATCTTAAAAATGAAAATTTGAGCGATAATTAAACGTCTGAAATTTTTTTATGATAAATAAAAACAATTCAATTCAGTCATTGCAGTTAAATAATTATTAAAATGGACGTTAGTTTTGAGTTATATTTCCATGACAAAAGTGTTGGGTTTTGGTTGGCACAGACTACGATATTTCAGGTTGTTAAGAACATTTTAAATATTATATGATATGGTAGTGGATAAAACTTCATTATTTTTGTCCATAAGCTCAACAAATTTCCAAATTTCTAAGTATTTTTACAAATTAACTGTAAAAAATATTTGTAAATGACAAATTTGTTACTTTTTTCATTGGCAAATTTTTGTATGAGTAATTTTCAAAATTAAACCTCAAGTACAATCCCTTGGATTATTAGATTTTCGCCATTATTTGTAAATAATATTTTCACTGTGCCGTAAGCAATACCAATATTGTGCTCTTAATCTTATGAATATAACTGGCTTTACCAGAACTTTATTCAATTATACATATGTATATCATTTCGCGGTCAAATTTATTTAGGAATTTTTATCGTCATTCCAAAGAACATTCTTTGCTATTTTTTCTCGAAGATTATAGTTTTTCAAATGTTGCCTGCGGCTAACGTCTCGATGGTAAATCCGTTGTGTTAATATTACAATGACTCGTTCGAGCATTTCGACTAAATGACACGCGTAATGGCTTGAATCACTGTGATACGAGTATCCTACGATCTTGGTGGCCAATCAACCGACCCAAATTGATGCGATATGTGGGAAATGGCGTCGTTTTGTTGAAACCAAATATCGCCGAGATTACGAGCTTCAATTTTATGCATTAAATATTCGGTTATCATGCTCACCCACAAACCACACCAAACCATTGTTTTTTCTGCATGAAGTGGCGACTCTTGAATCTCTTCAGGTTGCGCTTCATCCCAAATGAGACAATTTTGGTTGTTTACATACGCATTGAGCCAGAAATGGGCCTCACTGCTGAACAAAATTTGATTCGAAAACGTCGGATCATCGTCAATCCGATTTGCCGCGAACGACGCCGAATCGACTCTTCAAGGTCGAAAAAGTAACCTACCCTGATCAAGCATTATTTATACTTTTGTAGCATGTTGCTACATAGTGCAATAGTTTTGTTCACTGCTGCTTGCATCACCGAAAACTAATCGAGATAAGTATGTATGGAGTTATATTATCTTTATATATATAAATCTTCTGACCGTGTGTTTGTAATTGAACTGCTCCTAAACGGCTGGAGCGATTTTGATGAATTTTTTTTGTGTGTTCAAGGAGATTCGAGAATGGTTTAGATCAGTGTTGTCCAATGCAATAGTATGTAGCTTTCACTTGTGTGCGTAAAGCGTTGCTGCAAACTGTGTTGGCAGAAAAGTACACTGAATAAATAATGAGCAATTTTTTTTTTATAATGTTGATGAAAATGATTTAAGTTCAATTTGTACAAATGTTGATCAGTGCGTTTTCCATTACTTTGTCCACATTTATCTCAGCATTATACTCCTTAATTCGAATGAGGTCAGCTTTATGGTGATCCGAAAGATTGTTTCTATACTTATTTTGGACCAATTTAAGTGTTGAAAATGAAACTTCACAGCTATATGTGTATCCAAACATCGAATATAATTTAAAAATTTGTGTTTTTATGTTATAATATTTTGATTCATCTATTTTCTTCCAAAAATTAATCCCTGATTCAATAGCCAATGATAAATCACTCCGCATCTTTAGTAATTCTTCTTGAACCTCAGGGTCTCGGTTATGAAGGGTGCAATATAAGGGATTATTATGAAGCTCTATTACATTTCGAATGATATTAAAATCACTGAATCTATTTTCATAATTTTTTAAAAYGCGGTCAACTATATCTGCATATGTTTCTAATGTGTTTTGATTGGAAAATTCCTGAATAATAGCTGTTGTACATGGCATATTTGTTGAATCATTTTTCTTAACCT